CCACAAAACTTGCCTAAATTTGTTTCTCACCAAATATACATTCTCTTTTACTCATGAACATATTAGCATGTAAGAATTGTTTGGGATTAAGAGTTTAGGACCATGAAGGAATGATCCCTTGTTGAATGACACTGTTAATGAAATAAAATGTTCAAGTTTGCTGGTTTTATTTAGACTTAAATAGATTTGTCTCTTGTGACTCGGTTTCTACCGCTAAGTACAATCTTCCTGTGCAGTAACAAGGAATGCCCAATAAATTACCTACTCACAGTCAAACCTCACAGCAGAACCTTTGCTCCTCAGCATCATTATTCAGTATTCTCTTATATCTGAAAACATTCTGTTGCACAAGGTGTTGCCCAGAGGCAGGAACATGGTGCAGCAATAACATCATCCTTCCTCAACAGCCCAGTGTCTGAGAGCAGGCATGTTCCTCCCATGTGCTGGAGTCTTAGCTGGTATATTGGCAGCAACCAATTGTTTGGAAATATTAAAATAATAACCCAATCTTAAAAATAAATAAGTAAGGACGATTTAGAGACAATCTGATTTTTCAAAGAATTGGATAATTAATCGCAATCTGATGTTGTTTTTATAACATTCTTATAATATTTAAACCAGCACTCAAAGTGAGATGGAAAATTTTCTTTAAGAAACTTCTCACTTAACCTGATCTATCCGCTTGAATTATTCATCTTATTTTGATTCTGGATTTTTAAAACAATTGTCTTATATTTTTATTTCAGATAACTCAACAGCTGGAGAGCATATGCTTACAGATCATTGGCCTCGTTTTGCAGAAACACGTAATAGGTATCTTCAGAAACTGGCTTTGAACATGTATCCAGTTTGTTTATTTGACAGGAAAACTATCAGTGAAATATTCTTAAATCTAATATAGCAAGAAGTGTAATGTTTTCTTGTCCAGTGCTGTCAGCCATACTTTGACTGAACTACTTCTCTTGGGACCAAGGGAAACTTATTTTCAGTTCTGATTTATCTCTCTTCCTCTCCTTCTTTCATGTTCCTGAATTACTACAGTAAATTGTTAGCTAGCTAGTTTATTGAGCAGTAGAGGTCAAATGGAAGAACATGGAATTTATTTCTGTGTATAATTTTAACTTGATTGAAAATTTTAAAGGGCCATGACCTATGATTATAACTACTTTCCTACCAGCCCCTTATATTAAAAATCTTCAAAGTTTTATGACAAAACCGTTAAATAAAAACAAAAGTTTAGAGAATGAAAGCAACATAACTTCCATTTTAACTTGAAATAAAATGGTTTGGAAGCAATTTCTTTAGTAAACCGATAATACATTTTTTCTCCCAGTGTATATAAGTAGTGAGAAACGAGTTGTTCTTTGCAATATGAGACCTCTCCTTTGCAACGTCTTTGTTCATTCTTTCTGCATATCACCTTACCTTTCTGAAGCTGTGTGACTCATATGTCTGAGAAAGTATTGTTTCTCCTCTCCAGAATTTTATGAAGAAATTCTCTCTCTGGCATACAGCTTGACATGCCAAATGATTTCCCTCCAGATGTGGCAGCTTTTAGGTGTGTTATATGAAGTTTTCCAGCAGGATTGTTTTGAGTACTTTGCAGGTATGACTATTTATGAAATGTAATGTATTTTAACAATTTGGTAGTGCAGGCCCCAACCACTGCCTTCTGGAATCATTTTTGTTTAGGCTGCATGAATCTAAAGTGAACGCGTGCTTGTGCCATGCTATAAACCTTAACATAGCACAGTAAGCTAACATGAGTATTCTTAGCTTGGGGGAAACATGGCCAAATATGCCAGTCTTACTAGCTTATTGTAGTGTGTCTACCATTCAAAGGAAATATAAACATCCAGAGTTTCTCACAAAACTATCAGTGCATCAGTTAAAATGTAATTATGACTGCTTTAATTTTTTTTGTCTTTGTGTTATAAGGCTGCCATTGTGGCAGTATACACAGACTTATGCAGAGTTGGTGGGGTTCCAGCTCTTCTCAAGAGTCTGCAGGAACAGATCCCATTGCAGGGCTAGGATCTGAATGGTTAAGGCTCTGGGGATGGTATTTTACATCATTTTTTATTTCTTTTTTTTAGATATGATGCCTCTCTTACACAATTATGTGACCATTGACACTGATACTTTACTGTCTAATCCAAAACATTTAGAAATAATTTACACTATGTGTAAAAAGGTAAGACTTGTATTTGTTATTGTGGTGCTCATCACTGATATTTAAAATCAGATGTTTAAAACAGAACAGTGACAGGCTTGTTAATTGGTGCCTGTTCTGTCTAAATTAAATTTAGTCTCATCTCAGTTCCTGTTGGAGGCATCACAGCAAACCACTTCCACAATCATAAGTGGCGCTCAGAGTAGGTTAAGGATTAAATTGATGAGAAAATTATATTTACTGTTTCAGCCTTGAAACATGGATTAACGATTGTTGAAAAAACTTGCCATTCTGTTGCATAAATTGAACCTGCTTTTTTTTTAAATAGAACTTCACATTTTAAGGCTGTTAATCTGTCACCAGAATTAAATGGCCAAAAAAATGCAATGTGGAAAACATCAAATATCAAAGAATTTCAAAGATGTTAGCTTCCAAAATAACATTTATCTCAAAATGGTAAAAACACCATGACAACTGTAATGGAAAATTGATAAGAATTGGGTGCATCTACATGAGATGCTTACTGCGCATTGGCCTAATAACACTGTACAGTAGCCTGTCACGGTAAAAACTGTGCAAAGTTGAAGTCACATTTTCAGTCACCCAGCACCATTTGTGCTGCTTAAGTGTGGTTTGTTACCTTTCCTCCTCAAAATATAGTATGTGTGTTGATATATATGTATATCTGCATTTATATTTCCATGACAGACTGTACTTGCTATAAGTGGACTGAATTGTCATCCTTCTTGTTAGGTATTAACTGGAGATGCAGGAGAAGATGCAGAATGTCATGCAGCCAAACTTTTAGAAGTAATTGTCCTTCAGTGCAAAGGGAGGGGTATTGACCAGGTAAAGTACTGCAAACAGCTTCTCTTCTCTTATAAATCTGTGATATTGTGTACACGTTTTGGTAAAAGGCAGTCAGAAACAAAAGAGCTTGCTGGAAATAAAATGTAGGAATAAAGAACAAATGTAGGAAAGCAAATCTTCTAAATGGAATTGTACTCCTGCACAAAGGCTAGTGCAAAAATGTAAATCAGTTTGGAAGAATTTTTGAATTAGTTTTTGAGGAGGTGATAAAGGCATGGTGAAAAAGCAAGAAAACAGGATTAATGTGAAACAATGAAGGGCTAATGCCTTGGGTAGTGTTGTCATTTTCTGTTTTCTCCTGGTAGAATTTGTCATTCAGTGCTGAACAGATGGTGGCAATATTCTGATGTTATTGAGAATTTAATCATACAAATCAGATCATTGGAGTTGTTTCTCACAGCAGTATGAACTCAGTCTTTTTGAATATTAATAGTATATGTTTGATAGCTGTGTACATTGTGAAATGTATACCCGTATATTTGCAGTATGATGGGATTATGGAAGCTGTGGGAACCATCACAACAAATTTTCTAACTTTGTGAAGGACTTCTTAGGTGCTGTTTGGAATAGTGGTTTTTTCACAATAAAGACTAAATTCTATTCTCTACTCCTACATAAAACTTAAGCCCTACAAAGCACTAGCAGATTTACCTGTTTGTGCCTTTGTGAAGGTCTCTTGACTTCAAAGGGTAATTCTGGAGTTAATTTAATTGAAAGTGATGGAGTGGCATTGTATAAATCTGGAGAAACTGAAGGGAAAATACATCCTTGAGAACTTCTTAAAGAGAAGTCTGAAAGGGTTAGAAGTCAGTTATATGACTTTGCATTATATTAAATGTGTGGCAGCAAAGTCATACGTGCAAGAGCTCTGCGTTTGTGTCAGTTGAAATGCTTGTAAAAAAACCCACCCTTATTTGCCCAGATATTGATCTCTATTCCGTATTTAAGATGCAGTACAAGCTTACACTTTGAAATATTGCCTGTTTGTTTCATTATTCAGACATGCAAATGCGCACACTTTTGTATTTATTTGAGTAAGGTTAATATTTCTTACTGAGGATTATGTATGTGCATAGTATAGTACACATACATTTTTGATTTGGTTAAAAATCAAGAAACTGTTTGAATCCTTTCTGAAAGCTTCTATATACATGAAAAGAAATTCTGCCAAACTGCCCACAATATTCACTTTTTGTGCTAGTAGTCCTTTTACGCAGTCCCAGATGTTAGTTGTTTTGGGGAAGTTGTATTAGTGTAAAAACAGGAATATAAGATGTGTTTATAGCAAGGAATGTATATATCGCACTGTCATGAGTTGCACAGTACCAGAATTCTTTTCTCTTAGTCCCTCTTCTTTTCAGCAGTTCTGAGACTAATAAATGCATTTAATCTGTTGTACAACCTGGTAGCATTTTTAATGTTTTGCTTGTTTTCCTCTCCTAATTATGTTCCCAGTGCATCCCACTCTTTGTAGAAGCTGTACTAGAGCGGCTAACCCGAGGAGTTAAGACAAGTGAGCTTCGTACCATGTGTCTCCAGGTTGCCATAGCTGCTCTTTATTACAACCCTGACCTACTTCTGCACACATTAGAGAACATCAGATTTCCGCACAACCCTGAGCCTATCACTGCGCAGTTTATAAACCAGTGGATGAACGACACTGATTGTTTTCTTGGGCAAGTATCTAGGGTTTTTTTTCTTAAAAAGTCCTTGCTTACAGTTTCTTGGAGGCTGACTTGCAAGGTTGTTTTGAGTCCCGAGTTATGTAGATCCAAGAGATTAAATTCCCAAACTTAGTTTAAATAATAGTAATGCTGTAGGGCAGTTTAAAGTGACATGCATGTATTTTGCTTTTTCTTTTCTATTGAGTTGTGTGCTAGCTTTCTGGAATAGTGAGTGTTTAGTGGCATTAGACACTAATGTTACGGATGAACCATTATTAAAATGAACAGACAAGGGCCAGGGAACTATTCCATGTAAGTTTGCTTTGGTTTAACTTTCACAGACGGGGTAAGTACAGACACACAAAATTACCATACATCATCTGCTCTGTGATAAATCCCTGATTCCTGTTAACTCACTTCAATTTAATCATTTTTCCGTACCTTAAGGATGTTATTCTTCCCCAAGTTCCTGTATATTATAGACCATTTTCCTCTAAGAGAGATCCCATGATGTACTGAG